CAGATTGAGACGTTTACAGAGAACAATTCAATAGGCAAAAAAGTGAAATAAAAAAGACTAAACTTGAGTTTTTTGTTTGCTACAGTGAGTCGATCGAAGGTGTCAACGAAGCAGCCAGATTTCATAGAGTAATATCTAAAGTTCCAAAATCTATAGGTAGTATTAAGCGAAGCGAAGGAACATGAACTAAGTCTGGCAGAGAGACTTTTGATCTGCCATTATCAACCCACTTCCATGGACCATAATGCCGAATTGCGGTGTGAGAAGGTAGGGGAGAAGCTGATAGAGACCATTATAAGGTCCTCACGTCCTCTTCTTGGGCTAAATAAATTTAATAATAATTATAATCATTACTATGGTTTTTTACAAGAAGGAAAATTATTGTTGTTTTTTTATCTTTTGTTGTTATTGATATAGACATTGCACATGAATTGGCTTCATTGGGTTGCTATTAAATTGTTGTTGTTGTTTTCTTTTGTTTTATTAATAAGTTAAATTATTATTAATCCTTTTTTATTTGATTTTTAATATTAAGTTCTAAAAAAGAGTTACTAATTACAGTTCATTAAAAAAATATTTTAAAATTTGTATTTGCTTAATATTGTTGTTGTTGTGGTTTTTACACATTTTTTTTTCGTAAATTGAACGGCATTTTTGCTATTATTATTTATATAATATTTATAAATATATTTTATATAAAAAAATTGTCTTGTGCTTGCTTGTTTCCATGTTTTGTTTGAGTTGTAGTTGTTTTACTTTTTTAATTATTTTTTTTTTTTAAATCAATAAACGAAATATTCAACTGTAAAGAAACAAAAAATATATAATAATGAAATTGAAGTATTTTAATATTAAAAAATTATTATTATTTTTATAATACATACCGTAACTTAAAATGAATATGAATTTAATATAATTATAAATTTAGTACAAAAAAGAATCCGAAAAATGCCCATTTTTGTGGGGTTTTGAAATCTTTAATATAGCAAGATATTGTTAAATGGGGTCAAAGTCATGTTTGGTTCCTCTCGGTTATTTCAGAAAGAACTTCTAGTACATCCTCAAAAACGTGTCAACATTTTGAAAATTTGTAAATCATTTCACATCGTAATGACCATCTATTCTCGGACATCGGCATTTGTCAGAGGTATTGAGTGGCATCGACTACGTACGAGAATGGATGAGGATGACCCAACTCAAAAGGCATATAAAAGCGATCAAAGTGATGTCACACGCAGGGAAGGGGAAGGCCACAATACGATGGATAGGTCAAGGGGAAGATAACATCTCGGAACTGGGTCTTTCAAATTGAATGAGCTGCGCACGAGACCGACGAGCTTGGAAATCTTTTTTAATCTAGGCTTATGGAACAAATGTTCTATCACAAGCCAGCTAAGAAGAGGAGGATATATTGAAATCCATCTGAAGAGAATTTAACACGTTGACGGACAGTAGAAACAAGTGAAATTCGAAAACATGACACTAGGCTTCTACTTGTATGCTGGTAAATGCACATTTGTACTGCTACAGCCGTCATGTCACATAGTGAACTTGACGGCTATAGACGCAACTGTCCATCAACGTGTTAAATTTTCATTCCGATCGGACGAACATACCATGAAACACTTCAAATGAGAGTACAAAGCCAGGGGAGATTTAAATCAACCTTGACACAGATCTTTTTATACTCAATTCGATGCAAAATTTCGAGTCAATCGGACGAACGAAGTACATTTGGGGCGCCAATTACTTAAAATCGGACAGAGTTATATATGGAAGCTATATCTAAATTTTAAGCGATTACAAAAAATACTCAACACACCTTGTTCTGGACTCAATTCAATACGCTATGCAAAATTTTCTGCCTTTGGTATACCATTTACATGAAATCGAACGAAGTTTTATATAATATAATTTGAAGCGATTTTAATAAAACTCAAAACACGTTCTTCTGGACTCAATTCAATATGCCATGCAAAATTTCGTGTCAATCGGACATTTTTTTTAAGCCTTTGATAACCATTTACTTTAAATCAGATAAAAATATATATGGGAGCTATATCTAAACTTGAGCTGATTTTAATCAAACTTGGCACACGTTGTTCTGGACCCAATTCAATAGTCTATGGAAAGTTTCTTTTCAATCGGACAAATTTTTCAGCCTTTGGTATACCATTTACTTGAAATCGGACGAAGTTTTATTTGAGAGCTATATCTAAATCTCGACCGATTTCAATCAAACTTGGCACACGTTCTTTTATACTCAATTCATTAGCCTTTGTAAAATTTCGAATCAATTGGACAAACGAAGTACATTTGGTATACCATTTACATGAAATCGGACAAAAATATATATGGGAGCTACATTTAAATTTTGAGCGATTTTAACTAAACTTAACACACGTTGTTCTGGACTCAATGCAATATGCCATGCAAAATTTCGTGCCAGTCGGACGAATTTTTCCAGCATTTGATCCTTATAAAAATCTCTCTCGATTCTCACAAATTTCCATAGGGTTTGTCTTCTTGAACCATTAAAAATAAGCCTTGTGAAATTTCATTGCAATTGTATAATAAATGCGACCTCAATCCTTATTTTTTTACAAAAAATACATGGATCGAATTAAACATAACCTCAAAAGTAATTATGCGTCTATCATGGTATCTTCTGCAAATACAAATTATACCCATAACTCATGACCAGTACCATGGTACGTACAATTAATTCTTATCATTACCCTAGTACCTTAAAAAATATGAAAATTTTCCGAATAAAAATAATACCATTTTCTTTTTTCTGGAATCCTGCGTTTTGAACAATAAGAAAATTAATAATACAATATTTTTTTGTTTACAAATAAAAATTAGATAACTCAAATTGTAACAAAAAATAACTGTAGAAAAACAATAAATTAAAAAAAAAAATAAAAAAAATTTAATTTTTTAGGTTATGGTGAAAATAGGCATTCTCATTTTTTTCGTTTTTTTATTATTATGGTTAGTGTTTTCGTAATTGTAGCAAAAATGTTTACAGTTTTTAGATTATGTTTATGTTGTTGTTTTTTATTTTTGTTTAAATTATTATTAATAATTGTAAAAAAGAAGAAAGCTAAGCAGAGCGGTAGCACTAGTCGTAGTACCTTTACTTTTTTTAAATATCACAAATTTTTGTTTTTTTTGATACTTTTTTGTTTTCTTAAAATTAGAAATATGTTATATAATTCAAAATTTATTATCAGAGACAACATCATGCTGCGTTTTTTGTTTGAGTAAATTGTTTCTTTGTTGTTGTTTTTTACAAAATTGATTTATTTTTTTTAGGTTAATAGGCAATTAATAAAATTAAAAATAAAAATTAAAGCGAACAAATAAAATTTTGTAATAAAATTAAAAATATTGGCGAACAAATAAAATTTTGTAATAAAATTAAAAAAAAAATTGGAACTAAAAACACAATAAATAAAAACTGCAAAAAAAAATAAATGTTAAATATATAAAGCTATAGTTTTAATAATAATAAAATTTAGTTGTTAAAAATAAATGTATATATAAATTGTTGTAAAAACCAACCGAGATCCTGCTCATGTTGAGACATTTCAAATTGTCTGTTTTTTTTTAATTAAAAAAACTTCATTATCATCACTTTCGTTTTTTAAGGAAAATAAAAAGTAATTGAAAATAATAAGACAATTAAAATAAAAAAATAATTGTTATAAGATCAGCAAAGATTGAAATTAAATTTCAATAATAATTTTTAATTTGTTTTTTTTTTCTATTAATTTAATTTAATAATTATTTTAAAAGAAAACTAATAATTTATATAAAAAAAGAACAATGTGTAACATATAAAAGAGTGGGTCTTAAAAAAGATATAAAAAAAAAACATGTAATTAAAAAAATATTAAAAAAAATTATAAAATGATTTTAAAGGGAACAACGAACTTAAAAAAAATTGTTTAATAAATATGAATTTACAATAATAATAATTATTATGATAACAGCATTTTTTTACATTTTAACAATATTTATATAATTAAAAAATTGTTTTTTAAAAAAATATTTAATAATAAATTCTATGAGTGACTGAAAATTTATTTTAATTTTTATATTTTTTTAATTTTTTCTTATTTTTTTAATTATTTTTAATTTAGATTGTTATTCATTTTTAAGCCATAGATCAAGGAGATAAAAAGTTCGTTTTTTTAGTTTTTCTGTTTCTTTTTTATCATCATTATGCTTATTACATATGTGTGTGTGTGTCTGTGAGAAGTCTAATAAAACGTTATTAATTTTGTTTTAATATTATTTTATAATTTTTTTCTTACAGAGTTCAAACTTCGTGTGAGAAAAAAAATATTAGGAAGAGAGAACTCCTTAATATGATTGTTGCTTGTTGTTGTATTGTTTGTTTTTCTTTTTTTTTTTGTAATATTTAATAATAGTAGTTAACAAAGAGGGTGTCTTATTTGTTGTTGTTGTTTAAAACTTTGACTATAACAAAAAAAAAAAAAAAATATTTATATATAAGCGAATTTGTTTAAAAAAATATTTTTAATTATAAAACTACTCTCGTTCTTTTTGTTGTTGTTGCTTTTTTCGTACAGAAAAAAATTATTACACAATTCCCATATTTATCATTCATTTTGTTTTTGGTGGAGGCTGGGGGCTGTGTGTGATGGGGACACATTACTCGGCCGGAGTTGTTTGTGTTTCACTGTCCACCACCACAGTGTGGCGATTTAGATTTGTCATTGGTATTCGTAAATCTGGGTGTGCGGAATTTCGATTAATTAAAATATGGCTGTGGCGGCTGCCAGTATCTTCATCATCATCGCCAGTGGTGGTGGTATCGTCATCAAGGTCAGCATCACCACAACTACTGCTGCCGCCACCACCCCCACCCACACTAACAATGTTGCGGACCGAGGTCACAATACCGCCAGCATCACCCATAGAGTTGTTAGTAACTACACCACCTCCTCCTCCTCGACGTTCGACACCACCACCACCCCCACCACCATTAGGCCTTTCCTAGAGCGGATGTAACTTTGTTGTATGCACCGTTAGAGCACTGCGCTGCGTAAATCGTTTCTCACAATAGGGGCATGTATAGGGTTTTTCGCCAGTGTGTGTGCGTATGTGTTTGGTCAGATAGTCTTTGACACTGAACGCCTTTTCGCAATAGGTGCATTGGAAAGGTTTCTCGCCTGGTTAGGAAAAATAAAATGACACAAAAAAAATAAATAAATAAATTTGTTTAATTTTTTTTAATTAAACAATATTGGCTAACAATTGAAAAACAATAACTGTTAAGCCCAAATATTGTTTAAAAAAATGATCAAAATATCAAAAAAAAGGTTTATTCGACAAAGGCATTGCTTTTCAGTTCAATTATTGGATTTTAATTCTAATAAATTAATTCGGAAAATAAAAAAAATTCAATTTGTAGGTAATTTTGTGGATTTTGAAAAATGTTCAAACCTATTTAGACTCGATGTTGTGGATTTTTTCAACAACTATATGACCCTATAAGCATTGAATTGTCAAAGCCTAAGCGTAGATTTTTTAAGGATTTTTTCAATGACTAACTGATCGATAATCTTGGATTTTTTTATAATTTTATTCAAAGACTAACTGAACGATAAGCGTGGATTTTTTAAACATTATTTTCAATGACTAACTGATCGATAAGTGTAGATGTAAAAAAAAAATGTTTTCGATTTTTTCAACCAATTTTCAGATTAAAGAAAAAACGACTATTTGACTCCCTTCAGCTCGTCTATAAATACTCCTTTCAGCTCGTCTATAGAGACTCCCTTCAGCTTGTCTATAGAGATTCCCTTCAGGTCCCTTCAGCTCAACTATAAAGACTCAATTCAGCTCGACTATAGATATAGCCCCGATATATATGTTCGTCCGATTTAATGTAAATGGTGCACTTAAGCCCCTATATTTCTTTCGACTTGCACGAAATTTGGCACATCATACTCAATTAGGTCTAAAATTAAGTGTGTAAAGTTTTGTGAAAATCGGTTCAGATTTAGATATAGCTCCGATATATATTTCCGTCTGATTTAAAGTAAATGGTGCACTGAAGGCTCTATATTTCTTTCTATTTGCACGAAATTTGACGTAGTGTTCTGAATTGAGTTTAGAATGATGTTGTCCTAACTTTCATGAAAATCGGTTCAGATTTAGATATAGCTCCCATATATATTTTCATCTTATTTAATGTAAATGGTACACCAAAGCACCTGTATTTCTTTCGGTTTGTACGAAATTTGGCATAGCGTATTTAACTGAGTGTAGAATGATATCTGCTGAGATTAGTGAAAATCGGTAAGAGGTTATGACATAAGTCACCTTCATATCCTAACTGGATATTACTGACAAACTCTAGAACTCTGGAAACCAGTGCCGGGGCAGTGGATGAAGTCTTAGGATGAGAAGCATGCTGTCGTGGAACAAATTTAATTTAGGGCCACCTCTCAGAAAAATCTGACATCCCCGAAAATCGTCCAATTTTGCCTATTTATACCCCCTATATACACAACTATGTTGTTAGGGGAAAATATATATATATATATATATATATATATATATTTACCACATATAATTTTCGGTAATGATCAGATAAAAAATTTCGGGATGAAGTGGACCGTAAACTTAATTTTTTGTGTTTTTTTCGAGTCGATCTAATGGCCACAAATATTATAAATATGCGGAAAATATGTCCGTGTACGGAAGAGGTGCGGTCGACCTCTAATCGGGCAAGAGGGTGCAAATATCACGAAAGTTTGAGTTCCATGGTAGTTGTGTAGGATATCGTATGGCTGGCCCCGTCCGACTATACTGCTTCGCCCGCTGGGTTTTCATTTAAAAATGTATTCTCAGAATAATCCAAAAAATGTTTGGAAATATTGTAGCCCAAAATGGGTTGATTTTCTTAAATTTTTATATCTCGGGACTCGACCCTTCTAGTAGGAAACAATAAAACATCGAATGACGTCAAATTTAAAAATTATGTTCCAGTTGCGACGACGCGCTTTATTTGATTGCCAGTCGATCGGTATCAGACGGACCCCTATGAGATTGCCCTAAAAACTTCTCTAATCTGTTGACTTCCAGAGAAAGGTCTCTGAACCATTTGGGGTTTCAGAAAAGTACGGTGTTCAGGATTTAAAAAGTTGGGTGTCTGAGACACATTTGGAGATGTAGGTTGCGTAGCATTAAGCAAAAAGCCTTATTCGTCACGAATTTCTTTCAATGCACAACAATATCGGGTGGTATATAAAGTGGCATGATACACTGGGTCTATGTTGCCACCTTCACGGGTATACATATATTTCATGGGATTTTATGTGTTCTATGGGTAGAATTGATTTATATTTCAATATAGTTTTGATTAGTTTGTTTATTTTTAAATTTGGATTGCTGCATTTTTGTAGTATTTTTCTAAGGCAAAGTATGCCCTAATATCATTAGATTTTAGTATTATATCGACTGAAGGTTGATAAATTCCGAGTTTTTGTAGATTTTGCAATAAAGAACGTCTGGTATTTAGGTCAATGTCAGGGCAATTAAAGGTGATGTGGTCCATAGTTTGGATGTCTAAATAATCACATCTGTCGGAGCTGGTTATGTTAATTCTGTGGAGATGACGTTTTATCTGATTGTGGCCAAATTGTAGTCTGATTGTAGTTGTTGCGACACTTCGGAGCATTTTAACATTTCGGAACCAAGGAATACAGTTGACTTTGTGACTGCCTAAGGTTTGTCGTTTTGTCTCAAGTCAGATGGACATAATTTTGGGTAAGAATCGGTTGGATTATGGTTAGTGGCAATGAAGTCCACATACTCGTTTCCATCGATGCCGCTATGGCTAGGCACCCATAGAAAGTGTACAGTGTTAGGCCTGCCTAGAAATTTGGTATCTACTAGAGCTGAATCGTTTCGAAATGAACTAGTTCAAAAGAACTATTCAGCAAAGGGAACGATCGGTACTAGGTCGCATTATCTAGGGGAGTCCGTTCATTGACCGAAATTACAGATTATCAGTTCATACCATAAATATACATACATAGAATAATGTATAAAAATTTGGAACCGAAAGTAGTCGCCATGGATGCCAAATCAGCTGGTTGTATGCATCAGATTGACTCAGCAAACACAAAAAACCAGCTACCTTGAAATTGATTTCCACAGTAAATCATCTGGTTTTCAATTTTTGAATTTAATGCGAAACTTATAATCCTATAATCTTAAATAAAAATATTAAAAAATTATTAATTTTTATATCAATAATATATACTTAAATTAATTTATATATAATTAAAAACAATGCCTTTGTTTTTATAACCTTATTTTGTTAATTAATAATAATAGTAATAAAATGAATGAGTTTGTATTTTTTGATAAATTAAAAATTAGACTTGATGTGGTGGTTGTGGAGGTGAAAAAAATGGTAAGACTTTTTTTAATTGCAAATAAATATTCTTGTCTTAATTTCTTTTGATTTTGGTTCGGTATTTTTTTTTAGGACTTTTGAAAAACATAAATAAATTAGTTGCAAACGAAATTCGAATACTATTTTTGGTTTTGAAATTAATTCACTTCAAAACATTTTTCCCAAAGGAATTTCCAGTTTTTTTTATCAAAGAATACTTAAATGCATCGAACGAACGACAGACAGACAACAAGGAATGATTTGAAAAAATAATAAAAAAAATGTAACTCAAATTAATATTCCAATTTAAAATGGATTTTGGTTTCAAATTTCAACATTTGCATGAATCTGAGAGACACCAGAGAAAGTAAGGTTATGTGAAAACAAAAATTATGCACTATGGTTCCGTGGGTGTTTGGGTGAGTGAGTCAATTATGGTTGTAAGTGGTAGCATTGTTACGACGACAAACAAACATTCAAGAAATGGCAAAGAATGGTATTGCAAATGTGTGTGTGGGTGGGTTTGAGTTACACAAGAAAATTTTGAATTGTTTGCAAATGAATGGAGAAGAACACTGGGCAACAACATAGGTTTTTTTTTTCAAAAATTAACGGGAAAGGACAATGGATTAAGAAAAGGGGACTTAAAATAGAAGACCTGTGCATTGAGGTTTTGAAAGTTTAGATCGAATGATAACCAAAAAAAGAGAAGACCTCCCATTTTTCAAGGCGTGGATTTTTTAAAAAATATATTTTCAAGCATCCACACAAGGCATGGATTTTTCAAGCATCCACACAAGGCATGGATTTTTTTAAAAAAATATTTTTTCAAGCATCCACACAAGGCATGGATTTTTTAAAAAATATTTTTTCAAGCATCCACACAAGGCATGGATTTTTTTAAAAATATATTTTCAAGCATCCACACAAGGCATGGATTTTTTAAAAAAAATATTTTTTCAAGCATCCACACAAGGCATGGATTTTTTAAAAAATATTTTTTTTATTGTGAGAATATTTCCCGTCATTTTTAGTCCCCCTTTCACATTTCCTTAGTCCTTTTTCCCTGCAATTATTTTCGATGTTGCCCAGAGTATGCAATGGAAGAGTAGAGTAACTTGCCGCTCATACAATAAAATGCTCTGAAGTAATTTTGAAAATCAAAAATCATTTTCGAAAAAAAAAAATAAAAACCAAATAATCGAAAAAAAGAATGCATTCTTTGTTGTTGTTTTTTTGACGACTGTAAGTATGAATGTGATTTTGCAATAATTTTTAATAATAATTGAAGAAGAAAAAACCAAATTGGTGCAATTAAATTTCGTTTTCTAAAAATTGCATTGATTAGAGATTAATTTGAAATTTCGTTTGTTTTTTAGTTTTGATTACGAAAAAGAAATAAGCTGTTTAATATTTTTATTACTGAGATTTGATTGATTGATTGACTGAGGCTGATTGATTGATTGACTGAGATTGAGACTGATACTGAAATTGACTGACTGATTGATTGATTGACTGAAGAGGATATATCTGAGAGTTTGCATTGCAAAAAAAATCATTATTATTATTATTATTATTATTTTCTCTCACCCGTGTGAGTTGTTAAATGTTTGTTCAAGTAGTCCTTGACTGTGAACGCCCTGCCACAATAGCCACATCTAAAGGGTTTCTCACCTGTGTGTATGCGCGTATGCTGCTTTAATGTGTTCGATTGTGTAAATGATTTGCCACAGTATGAGCATGTGTAGGGGCGTTCTTTCGGTGTGAGGCTAAATATTTCAATTTTGTATACATATATAAAAAGATATTAGTTAATATTGAAATAGTAGAGATAAATATGTATATATTCAATATAATAAATATTGGATTTAGCATTTGTTTTATATCAAATACTTTTTTTTATTAAATCCTTTTTAAACGTAATTTTTTCAAGGCCCACTCAAGGCGTGGATTTATTTAAAAATATTTTTTAATATTCAAGGATTGAATTTTTAATTTTTTTCAAGGCCTGGATTTAAAAAAATATTTTTTCAAGGCCTGGATTTAAAAAAAATATTTTTTTCAAGGCCTGGATTTATAAAAAAATATTTTTTCAAGGCCTGAATTTAACAAAAAATATTTTTTCAAAGCCAGGATTTAAAAAAAAATATTTTTTCATGGCCTGGATTTAAAAAAATATTTTTTCAAGGCCTGGATTTAAAAAAATATTTTTTCAAGGCCTGGATTTAAAAAAAAAAATACATTTTTTCAATGTATTTAAAAAAATATTTTTTAAGGCGTGGATTAAAAAAATATATATTTTTTTAAAGCCTGGGTTAAAAAATATATTATATTTTTTTAAAGACCTGGTTTTAAAACAATATTTTTTCAAGGATGCAAACAAGGCGTGGATTTACAAAAAATATTTTTTCTAAAACCATCCAAGGCATCGATTTAATAAAAACTGACTCCCGTTATATAGTATATAGAAAATTTTCGTTTAATTTACTTAAAACAAATGCTAAAACCATCTGAAAAAAAAATATTCAAATAAATAATTTAAGAAAACAAATTTCAAAAATAGTAAAAAAAAAATTGTTCAACATTACTCTGCTTCGCCAGTATGCACCTTACGGTGCATAGCCAATGTACCGGGTGTCTTAAAGGTCTTCGGACAATCGGGACACTTGTGACGCACTTTCGGTACACCACCGACGATGGCTGTTGTCGTTATTGTGCTAGCTTGATTACTAAGGACGGCTGCGGAGTGATCGTGCGATGAACTGACCACAACACTTGTGGCAGCACCGGGATTCTGTTGTATGGTATAGACGGGCACCGATGTTGGTGAACCCCCATCCATGCCATCGCCATTGAGGGGCTCCTCTTTGATTATCACATGCGGGTGAATCACAGTTGCAGTACCATTGACACTTTTGTTCAGTTTGACTGTTAGCGGTGGCACTTTTAATTGGACGCTTTCATGTGGACTATTATCATCCGGCTGCTGCTGTGGCTGATGGTGGGATTGATGATGCTGTTGCTGGTCTTGATGCTGTTGTTGCTGCTGTTGTAAATGTTCCTGTTGTTGCAAATGTTGTTGTTGTTGCTGCTGTTGTTGTTGCTCCTGCTGTTCTTGGTGTTGCTGCAGAATCGACACCTGCTCCTGATACTGACGCTGCAACAGCTCATGATTCGATAATTTCATATCGTGCGGCGCCATTGTTGGCATATGCTCCGGTGTCTGTGGCTCATAACCCGGTTGACTAGCTGCTAGGGCGGAGGGTGTACACACGGAGCCGCAATGAATACACTTGTACTCGTTGGCTCCCTGCAAGGCGGCCGGTGATATACCATAAAAACTACACGCGGGACAGCGGGCCAAAAATGCCGGCGCCTGATGCACCAGCCGATGATGATCGTCCAAATCCTGTTCGTTGGCGAACTTCTCATCACAACTGTGACAGGGATAATCGATTTTCATCGAATCCGACATACTGGCCGAGACATGATGCGGGGCCAACAATATACTGCCACCACCCACACCGGCCACAACACTCAGCCCCCCATGGCACAGATGCATATGTTCCGTGGTCTGCTGGGGACTCTCGAACTGTTGGCCACACATGGGGCAGAAATGTGTGTTCGATACGAGGGCGGGATCCATGCTCAGATTGGGTAGAAACGATGTCTTCAGAGCGTCCATGGTGGCGGGCGACTGAGCTCTGCTGTTGTGTTGCTCAGGGCGCGGTAAACGTATTTCCTGGGCATTGGAAGGAGATTTTAACATGACGTATTTTGTAAAGAAATTTTGTTCAGCAGCAGAGCAGAGCTGTTCTTTTTTTTTGGAAACGAACAAAGCAACAGCGTTCAAGGGGGAGCAGGCACGCAGCAAATTGTTAGTGGGGGCGTTAGTATATTTATGGGCCTGAATTACCCTTTTTTGGGGGGAGAGAAAGAAAAAAGCAAGAAAAACACATGCAAAAAAATAAATGGCAATGATTTTTTTTTAAAAATGCAATTAACGAGATTTTTCTATTGAGAACAATACAGAAAAAAACATGTTGGAACCCCTTAAAATGGATTTTTAATATTAATTAACGAAAATGTGAATTTGTTAAAGAATATTATTTTGAAGGACCAGTACAAGGCGTGGATTTATTAAAAATATTTTTTTAAAGACCATCAAAGGCTTGTATTTTTAAAATATTTATTATTTAGTTTTTATTATATAATTTGTTATTTTAATTTTATTTATATTTTTCATTTAATTTTTTATTTTATTTTTTATTATAAGTTTTTTTCATTTAATTTTTCAGAATATTTTCTTTTAATTTTTCATAATTTTTTCATTTATTTTTTTATAATTTTTTTATTTTAATTTTTATTATAGGTAATTATTTTTTTAATAATCTATTCTTATTTGAATATTAATAAAAAAAATATTTTTATTAATAATTTTATTAGTTAATATTTTTATTTGATATTGTTGTTATAATTTTATAATTAAATATATTTAATTGTACCATCATCAATTGCTTAACAACACTTTACGCCTAAAAGTATGCTATCAATTTTCAAACACTCTCTTGATTATGGTGACAGAAGCAGCAAGCAAATTCATGACAGATCACCCAAACACACCTGAAGGATTTGTCAAATGTTTATCACGTTTATTTAGAAAACACACACACAAAATAAAATAACAAACAATAACAATTAACCAGCACTAAAATAATAATAATACAAAATTTTATAGCACAGTCCACCCCCTCCCTTTTATTAGCATTTCCCAACAAAACAAAACAAACAAAAAACTAGCTGCACTAGGCCCCTTTTTGTTTTGTTTGTTTTTGTTTTCTTCTTGTTTTGCCATAATTGCACTCCCACACACACATCGCAGAACAGCTCATCTCTTCTCGTTTCATCTTGTTTTGTCAATAGGATGGTTGGTTGGTTGTCAGTGTCATTCGTCAAAATAAAAATAACAACGTCACGGCGGCAGCAGTAACAACACCAACAACATTGGTGAAAAAGGAAATATATGTTTGTGTGTGTGTGTGATACGAAGGAACAGGAGGAGAAAAGAAACCAAAATAATACACGGATGTTTGATTAGAAAAAAAAACAATTGTTAACAGCATCCTTTTTCCTCATACCACCATTACTGGCGCACACACACACGAACAAACAATGCAATTGACTTGATCCACACCTCGGTGGTCGGTCGGTTTGCTCTTCAGTAAAAGTAGATCCACACCATAAATATAATTACCCCGACAACAACGGAGGCATAGGCATGCAGGCAACACAGCAACAACAAGAAAAAACCACCAAACACATCGCTGACCATTAGCAGCAGCACCAACACCGCCACCACCCCCTACAAAGTGGACCCCCACCACCACCACACACACCTTTGCCAACACCAATAACACAACAACAGATACACGCTCCCAGTCAATCTATCTCGAACGTAGCAAAAAGCAACAACACAATTATTAAAAAAAAAATCTAAAATAAAAAAAGAATTTTGAAAAAAGGCGAGAGGTGGTGATGCTACTTTTTTTCATCTCCTTCCTCCGCCAATTATCAAACATCCATCCAACCAACCATCCATCCTATCATCGCATATTAACAAAAACAATCAAAAAAAATCTGACAACGACGACCACTACTACTGCGACGACGACGACAACAACAATAACATTAACGAAGATGGACTATCAAACGAAAGAAAACAACAAGCGAAATTAGTGTTGTCAACACAGCAAAGAGAAAAAACGCGAATTAAAAAAACGACAGGAATTTTTTTTTGTCGTAAAAAATTGTCTTAATTCCTGGAAAATGGTGGAATTTTAAAATTCGTAAAATGTTAAGCATCGTTTACACAGATGGAATTTACAAAAGAAGAAACATATAATACAACAAATGGACGTGATAGAAATAATACAACCCACAATTAGCATATGGCAAAAATGAATGGATTTTTTAAACCTTCAGCCTTATGGCTAATGAGGGCCGTATCCAAGTGTATAGGATATGTCCAAAATGTGTCTCATCGAAATATTGATTTCAGACAATTTTGAGTCGATTTAGCAGGCTGGTGCTCTCGAAGTTAATAACAGATTATTCCAAACTTAGTTCAAGTTCGAAGATGGAGGATATCGGTCCACCCCCACGAAGTGATAAAAATGTTGCTGAAAATGTATTTTATAATATTACGAGAATCTTTGCACAACCTACCTTCTGGTACCTCCATCCTAGTGTCGAGATTTTTTAAATATTATTGTTTTAAAAATGTGACCCGAATTCGATTCTGTATTCGTTCTAAATTAGATCCCCTACATTTGCAGGGGGTTTGCCAATCTCCTACTGGGGGCGTCTTCCCGTGTGGCGGATGGGAAGGGAGTCTCCATGATGTGCAGGCGGCAATCGTTGGTGAGACCACAAGACACTTGTCGACGAGATCAAGCGATTGTGATCCGGCTCAAACGATTGTGATCGGGCTGCGTTGCCTTCGCACCTGTAGCTATACCTGCTACAAGCGCATCAATTTTAAACCCCAATAACTGTGACGAATCGGCAATTCAATTGGTAAACGAGCAAGTCAAGACTAGTGCAAATCAGTCTATGACTGACAGAACTGTAGTTCTGGCAGGGGACGACCTACACGGGACCCTTAACGCTATCCGCGATAGTCTAGAGGAGCAGAGTAGGGAAATCTTCGGCCAACTAGATAGGATTTACCGGAAGAGCAAAGTGAGGATACGCTTCCGGAGAAGCTACAACTAAATCTTAACCTGACTAATGATGAGCTGGACACCACGGTGATTCCGGTCAAGTCTACACAGGGGGATATTTGTAGGCTCAACGAATGAAGCGAAGACCTTGTCGACCGACTGACTTCAAGACTGACTGCAACATGTCCTGTGTCGGCACTTGCCGGCAATAAATTTCGAAGGCAAACTGCGACGGAGGCGATGTCCCACGATGGGGGAATCTATCGAGACCCTAGCAACGGACAGCGGCTCAAATGTCGGAAATGCCCGAGAAGTATCCGATGCGAAGCCCTACTCGTGAGCTTCAGATGGAGTGGATCTCCCTCTCGAATCTAACTGCTGGATCAAAAATCTCCAAGGAGACCTCTGAATGAAGTAGTGGAATCGGCGAAGTCCTCTGCCTCTGACAGGGGTGCGAAGCTGACTTCTGATCCGAAGCATAGCCCGAAGCCTAACCCGTGTCAAAAGGCAAAGGGAAATGCTACTGAATTTTTGGGCTGGTACCGTGATATGGTGACTACCCTGAAACTTTGGTCAATATTAATAATTTTTAATACGGAGATGTGATATACAATGAAAAACGCTTCCAAACATCAAAAATTCTGAAAGTTGGTAGGTCCCATATAGGGGACTACAGCCAATTCGGTTGAAAAACGTGCCCAAATCGCCAAAATACACAACATTGGAGTGTATGAGGACTGCCCTCAATATCAATAATTTTTGGTACGGAAAAACGCGTCCAAACTTAAAAAACTTACACATAAAACCCAAAAACTCGGAGATTGGGAGGATCCCTAATATGGGGGTATCCTGAGAAGTGAATCAATATTAATAATTTTTGATGGTAAGAGTACCCAAAATATAAAATTACAGGCAATTCGGTTGAAAAACATGTTTAGAATCGCCAAAATACCGAATATTTGGGTGTTTACAGTAATATGGGAGCTACACGAAGTCGTGGACCGATATGCCCCATTTGCAATACCAATATCGTAGGAGTATTAGCAACGCCTGTGCAAAGCCCTATCCTAAATATTGTGATTTCAACATACGGACATGGGTAAACTGACATAGAATTTTATTCTGATTAAGGGATTCCGGTGAATATTTCGGGGTGTTGCATAAGGGATGACAAATTTAATATACATACATATACACCTTATGGTGGAGGGAATTAAAAAATATATATTTTTTACTCAATAAATGAGTCAAGATTAGGGGCGGTTGCGATTATTTTGAAATTTATAGACCCAATGACCCTGATTAAAATAGTGTCAAATCGGAATTTCCTTTTGAATAGAATCGTTTTCGTGGGTGACAAAAGTGTTCACCTATGGACAGATTTCAGTTTTTTAAACAACATTTACATTAGAACTTCTTACCGGGTTAACCCACTTCGAGGATTTATTGGACAAATATACAATGGAATTGACAATTCAATCCGGTACAATGTAAACGTACTATTTTTTTAAAAATTTGATTGGCCTTCGGTCGGAGATTAAAGAATATGACCTATGGATAGATTCTAAAATGTTCTGCTTTTTATTCCAAAAAGTTGGCGTATGAACAGATTCCAGATTTTTAAAGACATTTTTTACTTTAACGGCATTACATTTTTAGAAAATATACATTTATTTGGCATATATTCAAAGGAATTGAAAATTTAAACTCACACGGTTAACCAAATCCGGTTCAATGTAAATCCAATGGAATTGATAATTTAAACCTAACGAAATCCGGTACAATGTAAACGTACTATTATTTTGAAAATTTTACTGGCCTTCGTTTGGAGATTTTCACGTATGAAAAGATTCCAACATTTTCAAACATTTTATTCCAAAAATTTCACCATGAACGATGTCTAGGTTTTTGTCAAAATAAATTTTGATATTCTTTTTATAAATTATGTCAACAAAGAAAAAAACGCCAAAACACTTGAGAACACACATTCCAAATTGACAACACTGTTTAAAACGATGGACGGGCGACACTCTTCAAAAAAGACTCGCGCGCGCACTTACACTTCTAAACACAGGCACAAACAATTTTTATATTGTGCTGCCTCAACGAAAGCACACACACACATTCGTTCACTCCCGTTCATGAAATTATTAAAACATTCACGACAACGGCAACAACAACGGAGACGACAGTTTTCATTTATTTTTCCTTTCACTGCTTATCTTCAATTCCTTTGCTTCTGATTTGGTGTGTGTGTCGGTCCGTGTATTTCTTCTTGATTCTATGTGGGTATGACTGTATGTGTGAGTGTGTTTTGTTGCTCTTCTTTTTTTTGATATTTTTTCGACCAATTTCCGAATTTTCACTTTTTATTTTCAGCTCCCCATTTCAAAAAAATATGATTTTTATTTCTTTTTTTCGTTTTTTTAGTTCCAACACTTTTTCTCCCTTTGCCCGTAGCAAAAAGGAGGGGGGTTCCAACAATTTTTTTTCTGTTCTCGTATTGATTCTCGTCAATCTTGTTTGCTTTAGATTATTTTTCTTTTTTTTGGTCATTCGCTGTCGTTCTAAACTTACCAAAATAAAATTTGAGCTCTTATTTACATTTAATTATTTGTCTACTTCTTGCTTCGGTTCACTACTTCATGTCGTTCTTTGGCGCTATTTATATGACCGAAATACCAACAACACTTGGAATTTCAACAAAAATTCTTATTGGATTTCGTCCACTTTTTTTCGTTTTCTTCTCTCTTCTTCACTAATAAAAAAATAAAATAATTCTAGCCAGCGAAGAAGAACCACCGAGCCAGACTGAAAATTGATTAGTTGGGGGGACAGCGATGACGGCGTTGCTCGAAAGAAAAACAAAACAAACAAATGAATAAATTAAAAAAATGAACGCCGTCAAAAAATGTTGTATGGTGGCATAGTAGCCTGGGGATGTGCAGTTGCATTATTGCTGTTTATACATAACGGTAATTGGATTCAAATTGGGATTATTTTGAGATTGTTTTATGTTGGTGTTTATATTATATGTGTTTTAATAAATCACGTTATTTAAAGCCGAAGCAGCGATAATTTCTTGGATTAGCAAATGAGAGTGCTGAGCTTCTTCGTACTAACCCTAGAATCAGAGAACCGACGGTGGATGTGAAAAGGTTAGTCGGCGGGCACAAGCGGAAAAAGTGTCTAGAACATCTGAAGTGTTGTAAAATCAGGTCTTACTTACTTAGCTGGCTCATAACAGAATTTTTGTTCCATAAGTCAAAATTAAAAAAAAAGATTTCCAGGCGCGTCGATCTTGTGCGTAGTTTTTCCAATTTGAAAGATCATATTCGGCAATGTTGTCTTCCACTTGATCTTTCCATCGAATTCGTGGCCTTTTGAGCAGGTCGGTCACTAGGTATTTCGGAGAATTTTTCCCTCAAACACTCCAAGAGCTGTCCCATCTGCCTGTGCAAGTGCCCATCGTTCTGATCCATACAACAGTACGAGTAGTATCAGTGTCTTGTAGAGTGCGAGTTTAGTGTGGCGAGAGGGGGTTTTGTTTCAGAATTTCTTATTTATACCATAGTAGCATTTGTCTTGTCGTTGGCCATCCTCATAATGCACGATACCTGTAAAATGGATACCTGTGGTTCCGCTACCGCTGGCAAAGTTTAATCATATAGGCCGATCTCACTTTTGTCGCCATTAGCTAAGACTCTTGAGGAATTCGTGAATTTTACTCAGTTGATCATCATATCCGCCACTAAGTCAACGGCCACACCAAAAGGACAGCGGAGATGCGGCTACCTTTGAATGTGCAGGTAAATGGGTCCACAATAGGGGTTACGCTCGATAGCCTCTATATGCCGTCCGCACATGCCAGACTATTTGCTATAAAGCCAGAAGCAGAAACAAGGTTCTCACGAAGAAACCTTGTTAACAACCCACACAGCAATAGGCTGGTCTGTGGAAAATTATGCGGCTCCAGTGTGGTCCGCCAACGTTAGTGCAACGCAATGGAAAAATCTTCAATCCTGCCAGAATTGCGCCCTGAGGACTGCAAGAAGATGTTCCCAATAGACTATTTACATGAGGAGCCGAAGATCATTCTTGTGCGTCAACACAACGAGATGTAGGTGCAATATCTGCTTGGGTGTTATTGAAGTAGCCACACAAATCATCACCTTATGGATAAGCAGCCCTCTTCCTAGTCATGTCAGGAAGGATCTTCAAGATCTGGAGAGAGAGAGAGAGAGAGCTCAGCCAAAACCCACTCATCTCACCCATAGCAGCAGAAGAGCAGCAGCTTCCACGACGAACCAGAGTGGTCTTGACAACCTCTAAGATCTGGAAGGTGTAGCTGCCTCAATTCATATTTGAGTTAAATCTCCAACGGAGTTATCTCTCGTCTGATATATCATCAGCTTCAAATATAAACTTAACCCCCCAAAACATCGACAACAGCTCATGTACCACACGAATCTCCCAACACCTTTGAAGACATAAACACGAGCCTGGAGAGAGGTAGGGACCTTCTCCATCTGATTGACGAAATCGGTTCCTTCAGTTTCAATCAAACAAAAAAAAAAAATCCCTAGAAGGTGAGTCTCACGGAACTATCCGCATGACTTTTCCAAGGACTTATTGATCAAAATAAATGGCTACAGTTACCCCACCAATGGCGGAGAAGGGTGTGAATAATCTGAGCCTAATAGGGATAATGACTCCGATATTTTGATTGATGTTGGTGTGGCTGCCTTGTCACTGTCCTGTCTCGACATCTACAAGAGCAGCTTCAAATATCGACCGGATTTTTTTAATCTCACCGAACACCATAACTATCGATAACATAAACGTCAGTCTAATAAGATACACGGAACTTCTTAATCTGATTGACGAAACCAGTTCTTTCTGCCTCAGGTAAGAAGTATCCCGACTCTTGAGTCATCCCTGTTACCACGGAACTATCCGAATGGCATTGCGGGGGACTTCTTGATCGAAAGAATTCTAACATCGAGTGTGAAGGTGGCTTCGATTACCCCTCAACGAAGGGGAAGACTGTGAGTTGCCGGGATAATGACTGCGATGTGGCTACCTGGGCACTCCAAATATAAATTTAAATCCCCAATCTCCAATCTCCCAAACCCAGTACTCTCGATGACATAGATACGAGCCTGGTGGGATGTAGGGACCTTCTCGATGTGATTGAGAAAATGTACTCCTTCCCTTGAGTCTCTCGGAAGTATCGCAAGAATTCCTATATCGCGTGTGAATGTTGCTTTAGCCAGAGCACAACCAGGAAAATGATGCCAAAGATTTCTGCTAAATTTAGACTTTTGGGGGGTCCCTGAAACTTGAAAAGTTCTTGATATCATCGTCAAAATTGACTTTGTCGTCCAAGAAAGTGGGTGCTGAGAGTGTAATAGTGTGTACTAGCCTTTATGTGTCTCCCCCTTTAATCAGCTGGTCGACCATATCAATGTTTCGATTTTCACATCCCTACACTCATTTTCCCTTTTTCGATTTACAAACCCCTAACATTTGCCGTCTTTGTTTTGTTTCTCAACAATCAGCTGTTCTATTGTTCCAAAACACAATCAATCCTGCATAGTACCAAACAAAACCAATCAAATGGCTGAAGAAATCGATGATAACGGTTTTTATCGTGAAGATTTTAGTGCCGAATCTGATTGGGAGGTATTCAATGCCCAGCTGTGTGATTTATTTCAACGATGGGAGCTTTCCAGCTCGAGTGGCTGGGGCGGTGCATTTGATGTGAACAGTGCCCAATGGGCAATTGAGGAGGAACAATTGGAGGTAGTAGGTAAACAAATGACTGTAAAATACTACAAGGCATTGCTAAAACCGAATGCCAAAGACGCTAATTTGTCGGCGGATAATGAGAGGCCACCATTCCATGAAGATCTAATGCGAGTGGAGAGCACATTGGCTCAACCCACTTTTTTGGATGAGAAAGCTAATGATGTGCATTATTTGGCCCGCATGTATGGTCTGCGGCGATTTGTGGTCATGCATCCGACACAATTGCAGAATCACTACCTAACAAAAACCTCCCGGTTTAGTTTCTTCCTGAGTTCCATATCGGTTGTGGCTGCCGAAGTGTGTTCTGCAGTTCCCATTTTCCTGCATATACACGACCCAAAATGGAATTTCTTTTTGGGTGTGGGTATGTCCTCGTATATGCGCACAAATTTCCATTCCGTGGCCTTGGAACAGGCACCCTCCGAATATTTATATCTATCGGGCTTGGTAAAAATGTTCAAAGAAAAGTTGCCCAGAAATCATGATAAACCTGCTGTGGTCTCGGTGCGTAATACCTATGCCATGGATACGGTGAAGTTACGTGTACCCATGTACGTTCCCTTTGGCATGACCCCGCAGGTGGATGAGGAACGTTCGGTAATAGATGTTTCGTATTTCACGGCATTGCCACATGGCTATTTTCCCGGTTCGAATACCACAATGTTTGCCACATTTACATGGCCTGAATTGATGGATAATATGTTTATAGACTCACCGCTGCAAACACAATTTATACCATCGAAGGCTCCATGTGGCACCCTATATCAAACGGTACATGCCAATTCGTATTTAACTGCCTGTCTAAAGGATTACTACAATTTAATAACGGCCAAAAATACGCTGGAGTCATATGTGGGACGTAATTTCTCCGGTGCCACAGCAATGGCTGAGGAACGCAATCCCTTGGATCAATTGGGTAAAATCGGGGCAACACATCATCGACAACAGTATGTTGAGAGCACCACCACATCTGGGGGACAAAACAAATTACCCGGACCCATGAAGGAATATGAATTGAATCCAATGTTGTATTATTTATTTCCGAATATAAGACCGGATATGGCATTGTTCCCCTATGAGCGATTGAGTAAGGATAAGGTAAGGGTTTTGTTTTTTTGAAAAATGTTTTCTGTTTTTTTTTTTAATCCGTTCTTTACTTTTTTAGATCGATCCCCATCGCATTAAATCGGCCGAGTCTGATTCTTTGGTATATCGCCTCAGTTGCCTCTTGGCCACTGTCCATGCCCATTTTGGTGGTAAAAGTGGTCTCGCCCAATTGTATGCCGCATTTACGCGTGAATTACGCCAACTTTGGGAGTCATGCACTCTTATACCGGGGTAAGTTTTTGCACCTATATATACATTTTTTAAACGAGTGAAAATATATGGAAAATCAGAATAGTTCTCAAAAAGTAATTCTATAATAATCCTGATTAGAACTAAACACAATAAGGCTTCAACAACAGGGGAATTTCTCGATACTTCCCCCTTGATGGGTGTTTTAAGTTCCCTTATTAATGTTTTTTATACTCACCCTCCAAAATAAGGTTGAATTGTATTTTCAATTTTAATTTTTTTCGATTTCCAACAACTCAAAATATTATCGTCGACCACATCCTAGATCAGTATAAAAACCGTTTCCAACACCTTGAAATATTCATCGCGACCACATTCTCGGTCAGAATAAAATTCTATGTCGATTTAACTATAACCATCTCCGTCTGCTGCCTGTTGAATCACGATAGAGCTTTGAATCACGATAAAGCTTTGAAAATTTGCACGTACTTTGCTACTACTCCAAGGATATTTCATATTGAAAATGGGATCTATCGGTTTTGGTATAGTCCGCCATATAAAGGTACCCTTGGTATTCAATAATTTGGGAAGTTGGGAAAACTTTTGTTCAAACGAATTTGCTAAAATTTGGTTTTGGGCTTCTCAAAGCGTAGCTTATAAATATTGGCCCACTTTTTATGATAGCTCCCATATAACAATACCTCCTAAATTTCCGTATTTTGCAATTTTGTTTAATTTTTTATACCGAATTGTCTGTAATTTGGCATTTGGGCTTCTCATAGCGCAGCAAATCTTCCAACCAAAAATTATCAATATTGGTCCACTTCTTAGGTTAGCCTCCATTATAAGGTACCTCCCAAATTTCTGTTTTTTTTTTTTGCATTTTGGGTAGGGTCTTTAAACCTTCTTGCCTCAATTTGGTATTTTGGGTTCTCTTCCCAGCAAAAATTATCAATGTTGGTCCACTTTTTAGGTTGGCCCCCATTGTAAGGTATCTCCCAGATTTCTTTATTTTCGGATTTTGGGTAGGTTTTTAAACGGTACCTTCCGAATTTCGGTATTTTGGGGAGTTTGAGCAAAATTTTCAACCGGATTTGCTGTAATTTGGTATTTTGGGTTCACATTGGTTAGTAAATCTTCCCACCTAAAATTATCAATATTGGTCCACTTTTTAGGTTAGCCTCCATTATAAGGAACCTCCAAAATTTCAGTTTTTTGGGATTTTGGGTAGATTTTTTTAATCGGAATTGACTGTAATTAGGTATTTTGGATTCACATTGGGTAGTAAATCGCTGTACCAAAAATCACCAATATTGGTTTACTTTTAGCGATAGCCCCCATATAACGATACCTTCCGAATTTCGGTATTTTGGTGAGTTTGAGTACATTTGTCAACCGAATTGGCTATAATTGGATATTTTGGATTCTCATTGGGTAGTAAATCTTCCCATAAAAACTTTTTATCTTATTTAATTTCGTCAGAGCATAAACAACCGATCGATTTCAGGTTATTTTGAATGTGTCTCTCTCTCATGGTGGAAAGGGGTATAACAAGTTTGACGACATTATTTCAAAATAAAAAAAAAATTTCAGGTTATTTTGAATGTGTCTCTCTCTCATGGTGGAAAGGGGTATAACAAGTTTGACGACATTATTTCAAAAAAAAAAAAATTATATATTTTTTTGTACTTACCTCAGCCTTTTTTTCTTTAGAAATTAAAATCCATAATTTCATTATATATGCAATTTTATTTGTCAAATGAATGTGTGTGTGTTTGATAATGCATTTACATGTGTGTGTGTGTTTTTTTAAGCATCTCAATAATTAATAAACATTTCATTCAGGTCTGATTCTGCTTCATCTTCTTCTTATTAGCTATTATAACAAATGTACAAAATTAATAATATTTAAATACGCAACACTTTCGAAACTAAATTCTTAAAATCAGAAACCAATTATTGTGATTTAATATTACATAATCTAGTTTTTTTTCTAATATAATATTGTGCTACACTGTCACAAAATGGAATTAAATCCTCCTCGTTTGTATTTTTTATTTGATTTTTTAATAACACATTTTTTTCTTAAAGTATATTTACAGATTTAGAAATGTTTTGTTTTTTTTTTTAGGATTTGTTAGCTTTGATTGTGATAAATGCGTGTGTGTGTGTGTCTGAGTCTTGTGCATCTAAAATGTGCATTTATGTATTCGTTTCGTTTGGATTTTTCTTATAGAGTAAATAATTCGATATTTATTTCGATATTTTTTTTTTGAATTTTTAAATTTAATACAGAAATATTTTTGTTGTTGTTGTTTTTCAGATAAGTTTTCATGTTTTTCAATAGTTTATAGTTTTTTTCTTTTGTTATAATTTAGAACCAGTTATTATTATTTGTTTATAGGACCGATTTGAGATGTTTTGAAAAATAAATAACATTTATTTGATTTTTCATAACAAAAAAATGTTACAGACATGTTGATACATTTTTTTTTTTATTTTCTAAATTTGCAATGGTCTAAAAATTTTAAACAAATGAAATTCAGTTACAAATAGAAATATATTTGTTTTGATATTGGATCTTTAATTTTTATACAAATTAAAAAAGAATTTTTTTTACAAAATAATTTTATGACAAATCAATTCAATTTCCACATCTGTTCTTTAATATTTTATCTCTTTTTCAATAACAATTTGTAGCAAATTTTTCCAATCCTTTATGGTTCTATGTTTAATAATAAGCGTGTGTGTATGTGTTTTGGATTTGTGATGGTGTTAATATTAAGGCAGTTTTTTATCATCATTATTTATTTTATATATTACCTATATTCTATTATTGATTATATATATATATATATTAAAATTATTATTAATAATATTATTACATTTATTTGTTTTTTATTTAAGTACTTTGTGATATTGTATTCTATTGTTTTCTATTTTTAAATTACAATATAATTTATTTAAGATATAGAAACTAGGATATAAAAAACAGTGAGCGGAGCAGTATATTGGGACGGGGCCGACCATACGACACCCTACACGGAACTCTATCTTTCTGTGGATTTTTATTCCGAACCTGGGTAATATTTCGTAATAGTTGCATCCTCTTGCCTAATTAGAGGTCAACAGCACCTCTTCCTTACACTGACATATTTTCGAATATTACTAATTATACCCTTCACCACACTGTGGTACAGGGTATTATGTCTTTGTGCATATGTTTGTAACAGGCAAAAATAATCGAGATAGACCCATGGTTCCTTTTGAGAAAAAGCATAGAAACACTTTCTGAGTCGATTTCTGCATGTCCGTCCATGTTGAATTGTAAACAAAGTATAGGTCGCATTTATGATCCGAATTGGATGAAATTTCGCACAGCTCATTTGTTTGGCCCAAGGACGAACACTATTGAAATTGGGAAAAATCGGTCCAGATTTAGATGTAGCTCCCATATATATTTTCGTCCGATTTAATGTAAATGAGGTACCAATGTCCCTAAATATCTTTCGATTTGCACGAAATTTGGTACAGCCTACTGAATTAGGTCTAAAATGATGTGTGCCAAGTTTCGTGAATATCGGTTCAGATTTAGATATAGCTCCCATATATAATTTCGCCCGATTTTAGGTAAATGGTGCACCAAAGTCCCTGAAAATCATTTGATTTACACGAATTTTGGTATAGCGTATTGAATTAAGTCTAGAATGAAGTGTGCTAAGTTTCGTGAAAATCGGTTCAGATTTAGATATAGCTCCCATATATAGTTTCGCCCGATTTTAGGCAAATGGTATACCAAAGTCCCTATATATCTTTCGATTTGCATGAAATTTGGTATAGCCTACTGAATTAGGTCAAGAATGATGTGTGCTAAGTTTCCTGAAAATCGGTTCAGATTTAGATATAGCTTCCATACATAGTTTCGTCCGATTTTAGGTAAATGGTGCACCAAAGTCTCTGAAAATCATTCGATTTGCACGAATTTTGGCATAGCGTATTGATTGAAGTCTGGAATGATGTGTACACCTCCTATATATATTTTCGTCCGATTTTATGTAAATTGTGCACGGAAGATCCACAGCTAGGCCGATTGAAATTAGTATAAATTAATCTCTGGCAAGTTTGCTTCAAATCGGTTCAAATATAGATATCTCATAGCTTCCACTTATCGACTTATTTATTGAGATTAAATTTTAAACAATGCAGCATACCGAATAGCGTGTGTCAAGTTTGCTTTAAATCGATTTACACAAATCTCTCCCACTGTGCGCAAACGACTCTAAACTTGCCCAAATGAAATGAAATTTAGCATAGGTTCCAGAAAGATATAAACATCACATATTTAAATTCGTTCAATTTCATGTCAAAATTCCTTCAAAAAGGCGACGTTTTTCGGATACATATGTAGAATATACCCAAAGTGGTGAAGGGTATCATATAGTCGGTCCAGTCCGACTTTATTATTATTATCTGATCATCATCGATAACTATAATCGTTGTCCTTGACCATACCTGGATCCTCATGAAAAATTTCAAAGCCAACATAGTTGCGTGGGGTATAATAATGAACTCTCGATTTTCAAACAGTCAATTTGATTCATTACAAAATTTTGTAATTTTGCTTCAAAATCAGATTTTATATGTAAACAATTATATGTAAACATTGTCATTCCGTTTGCAACACCTCGTTATATTTACCGCAGTATATATATATATATATGTATGCATTGCAATATATTAAGATAGAGCTCTGACATTTTGAACAGACATTGCTAGTATTCCTACGATTACTCCTTCGAAAATTTATCGATATTGGTCCACTTTTTAGGTAGGGTACCCTCCTAATATTCGATATTTTGGCGATTTTGAAGACATTTTTCCACCGAATTGTCTGTAATTTGGTATTCTGGTTTACCATTGTATAACACATCTTGGTACTAAAATTTATTAATATTGATATAAGTTTCAGGGTACCTCCTATATAACGGTACCCACAATATTCGGTATTTTGGGGATTTAGAAGACGTTTTTCAAACGAATTG